CGTCACAAAAAAAAAAAAAAAAAAAAAAAAAAAACCCCAAGGCTAAGGCTAAAGGTTATTTTGTTGCTGATAATCACAGCAAAGCAAAACACTTTGTTTCTTAATTTTTGTTGTTGCATCTTCTTCTTGCGATGAGATCCCTAAACTTGAAACCAATTTGTGTTGTGATGGAATAGGCACTAGTATCACGTATGAGGAGGTACAGCCCACAGTACTATAGTCCTCCAAGGAGGAGCTATGGCGGAGGCGGTGGCGGAGGAGGACGAGGAAGAAGCCCCCCAAGGAGGCGCAAGGAGCAGAATAGTGGAAGCCTTTTGGTCCGGAACATTCCTCTTGATTGCAGGTCCTCCTTCATGTGAAAGAAAAGTTCCGATTTTGGTCTGTTTTGTTTGGTTTTGTTCACTGTTTCAGTTTTCTAAACTGGAGTTTTGTCTAATTTTGCAGACCTGAAGAGCTACGAGTTCCCTTTGAAAGATATGGGCTTGTTCGGGATGTCTACATTCCCAAGGACTACTACACTGGGTGAGCTTTACTTATGTCAATACGTATCGGTGTCAATCATGGTTTCTATAAAATCTTCAAACGTGGTTCATGCAACGGAAGCTCGATTGATAAGAATACTATATGAAATTTTCGTTGTTTCAGATTCGTTACTTCCTACTTTGTCTGAAATGGCATCCTTGGTTAGAATTTGTTAGTAGGGGAATAAGATACATGTGTGTGGAGTTTGCTAAACTATTTTCTAAAGTACTTATTACCTTTTTCATAGTGAATTTTTGAACTGGTTTGTCAGGGGGTGTGTTGGTTTGAACTTTGAAGTTAAAACAAGCCCAAGCCTCACATTTGATGAAGGCCTACTGTTTATCATTGCGTAACATAGTGGTATTCCAAGCGTGTTAGGAGTAATGTTCAAATGAAGAATGTTCTTTTTATGAAGAGAAATTATATAATTACAACAATCAATAGAAGTTTGGTGAGGACAACGTTGATTTCAAGTGCTTCTTATAATCACAAGAATGTCAAGAATTTGGGGCAACGTTGATTTCAAGTGCTTCTTAAAGAATGAGAAGAATTTCCAAGTTACTTGCATATTTTGAAGTTGCCTTTCATACTTGACTATAAAGAAAAGGTCAGCCACTAAGCTTTGACTTTACCTGCTTTACGTAAATTCAGCATCCACTTAAGTGGAACTGCTCCAAAGCTGATGATAGATGTGAAGTAATGACATTGTGGTGGTAACTTACCATACTAATTTTGACAAGCCACTGTACTCATACAATCAGTCTTCACTCACTCTTTAGTCATTCCTACTTTGTATTGAGCTTTCCTGAACTACCATGTAGGGAACCTCGGGGATTTGCATTTGTGCAATTTGTGGATTCTTATGAAGCTGCAGAGGCTCAGTATCATATGAACGGGAAAATTTTTGCTGGGAGGGAGATATCTGTGGTTGTTGCTGCAGAGACAAGGAAAAGGCCAGAGGAGATGCGTCAAAGGACTAGGGTTAGGTAATGTCCTCTCTCTCTCTCTCTCTCTCCCTCTCCCCCCTAACTTGATTTTATATGTTTGAAATGCCAATTGCCTGTTTCTTTATGCAGAGGGCCGTCAGAGCATGGAGGAAGGCGATCGTCTTATTATGGTACTGTTTCTGACAAAAGTTTACTTATTATCGTATGATGTTTCTGACAACGATGAGTGATGCCCTTAATGTTGTTGATCATGTTTGAATTCACTGTGGTCAACAGAATCAACGTCTGCGAACATATCATTACCTTTCCATTTATTTCTGAAATGAATAATCTAATTAAGAAATATTTTGTGATATCATTGTATCAGTGAAGTGGTTCCTGTTAAACACTAATCTGTATTCTGTATCTGATGTGCCACAGGACGTTCTCGTTCTCGTTCACGTTCGCCACATTATCCATCAAGTTCTAGAAGCCGATACCGCTCAAGGTAAGCTTTGAAGGTGACAGAATGCTGTAATTTTTTTCTCTCAATGCTTACTAACACATGCATACATTGGCAAATAATTTTTGCAGGTCCTATTCACCTGCTCCAAGACGCCGTGGTGACTCTGTTTCCCCAAGTAGAAGGCGCAGAGACCACCCAAGATCACCACGTGATCTTCCACTAGAGCGAGATGCTGATCATGATCGCAGGCCATATTCTCCAGGTTATGACAATGGTGCTGGGCCAAATGAAAATGATGGATATGAAAAGTGAGTCCGTCCATATTGTTTCTGTTTTCTAGCTCCGCTGCAGGTTTCTCTGTATACATTTTCTTTCAAACTGTGTTCATGAGAGTTTGCAGGATGAATGGTGGAAGTAGTGTAGTGTGGCAAATTGAGGATACGGATTTCATTTTGTATTGTTTAATGTATCAGTTTGTCATGCTGATCTTTTATATTGACTGTGTTCTCGTGTCAAATATGTAGGAAACCTATGCACGAGGATAAGGATGGAAGAGGTCATTGGAGGTCTCCTAGTCCTGGTAGAGCATCCAGATCACCATCTGGATCTAGGTCCAGATCTGCTGAGTTATCGCCTAGGCGCAGCAGATAAGGAAAAGAGCAATGTGAATGCATAAGCATACATTTAATCATGTCTGGCAGATTTTGAATTTTCCGGGTTGTAACATTAGTTTGTGAGCCTGAGTTCCGGGCTTGTGTGTGCAAACATTTGGAAGTTTGGAACAATTAAAACCTTGTTTTTGCGTTTCTTTGGATCATGAAAGTTGTGTATGGTTTCATTTGAGACTTTCTAAATTGAAACAAAACAAATGATAATAATTTCTACCAAACACGCCCCTCAATTAGTTTTAATATATACATCTATCCTACCATGTAAAACTGAGCTGATTATGGGTTTTCAATGACGAGAAAATGAAAATGGCAATGTGGGTTTTCCTAAGAATGCTGAAGAAAGTTTGTGAGCTTGAGATAACCATAATTCAGTACATTGATTCTCAAGGGTTTTTGAAGTTGGTCTTCATCTCAGTCAAGGGTTTTTGAAGTTGGTCCTCATCTTCATGAAATGCAGGCAGCAGGCCATAAGAGCAAGTTAGCGCTCAACCCAAAACCAGGCAAAAGACTGCCCTCGCGAGCCCAAGGAGCTCCAGCGCGCAAGAATGAGCGCGGGCAATCGCTGGGTCCTACCAACCCTGGCAGGCTCAAGGGCAAGTCTCGCCTGGGCTTTAGCCCGAGGGCTGTGACGTCATCGCACGGTAAAAAAATTTGACTTCCGCGCGCTGACGTCGCCCCTAACAGCCTCCAACAGCATTTGACACGTGTCGCAACCGGGCCTCTCCAATTGGTTTTTTTTCCAGAAATCCGACTGTCCTCTTTTTTTGGCTAAAAAATTGCAAAATAAATCGAAAAAATTCTGAATTTTTTTTGTATTTTTTCCCTATAAATACCTAACCATTTTATTTACTTTCCACATCAAATCTTCATACAATTTCTTCTCCATCCAATATTTTTTTACCCTCCACTCACATTATTCACTTTCCACACCAATTCTCCATACAAACTCTTCTCCTTCCAATATTTTTTACTCTCCACTCACATTTTTCTACTACTTTCCATTTGTATAAAAAAAAAAAACAAAAAAACAAATGACATCTTCTGTCGAAGCAAGAGGCTCGTGGGCAACTCAGGAAGATATTGCGTTGTGTCAGTCTTGGGTGAACGTTAGTCATGACCCTATCACGGGCAATGAGATGAAGTTCCATCATATGTGGAGCAAAATTCATGGAGAATTTTGTCAAAGATCGGGTTCCATTCAGACCGAAATGATATTGTCTAGTAGATGGAAACTTCTGAATAAAGAGTTAGGAAAATGGAGAAATGCCTTGACAAAAGCAATGGAAAACATTCGAAGCGGTCAAAATTTTACCGATGAGGTAAAATATTTATAATTGCCATTTTAATCAATTTAATACTTTTTTTTTCTTGCATATTCTATTTCTTTTTCTTGCATAATCTTTTTTTTTTTTTGCATTTCCAATTTGTCTATATTTTCTTGCATAATCAATTTTATTCTTGCATTTCAAAATAGTTTATATTTTCTTGCATAATATTTTTTTTCTTGCACTTCCAATTATTTATTTTTAATAGATCATACAAGCACAAATGTGGTTCGGTGCCATGGGGCAAGGCAAAAAAAGTTTCGTGCATTTCCAATGTTGGGAAGTTGTGAATGATTGTTCGAGATTCAAAATTATTCCCACCAGTCCGCCAGTTGTGTTGAATGAGACCTCCACGATTCGCCATCAACCAATTCGTCATTGGACTCCCCAATGAAAACAGAGTCACCACTCCCACGTCCGCCGAGACCTATTGGGAGAAAGGCGGCAAAGGCCAAGAGAGGGGGCACTTCGAACAATGAATGTGTACAATTATTGGAGCAAATAGCTAAGAACACCTCACTAAGAATTGAGAGAGACTTGAAAAGAGATTAAGCAGACATGGCACGAGAGGAAGCATTTGTTATTCAACAGCAGCAGGCACAAGAAAAAGACATGGATGATAGAGAGATGAAAATTATGGCCATGGATACGAGCCATATGTCTCTTGAAACAAAGGCCTATTGGAAGCATAGACGAAAGGATGTGATGAGAAAAAAACTTTTCCATGACGACGGACCTAGCAATATGGATTGGTTAAATGATGAAAACCATTAGCTTGTATTGAAACACCTTTGCCATATGTTGTATTGTTGTATTGTTGTATTGTTGTATTATCCTTTAATTTGTTGTATTGTTTCCTTTTTATTCAATAAAAAAATCATTAAATAATATGACTATTTATTAAAAACATTTGAGCATCAAAACAAAGATTAATTAAAAACAAACCTTAATTTATTGCAAATAACACACAAAACAAACCATACATAAAAGCATAATAATAAAAACAAGCATAATTCCAAAAAACACCACACAGAAAAGAAAGCATAATTAAAAACAAAGCATAATTCCAAACAAAGCATTAATCTTGACTTCATCCATTGTGATTGCCTTTCATCTCCCACAAATGCTCGATCAAGTCAACTTGACGTCTCTCGTGAACATATGAAGATTGCATTTCTTGATAACGATCAATCATGGGGTTGTTGAATCGACCATCCCGAAGTAACGATTCGGGCTCCATTGGTAGTCCATTTGGTCCCACCGGACTTTCATATATTCTTGTCAACGCCGTGTTCATAGGATCGGGTTCAAACACCTCTGGAGCATCGTAGTCATACTCATCCTCCACAATCATGTTGTGGAGGATGATGCAAATCATCATAATACTCCGCAACACCTCCTCATCTAGCATCCGAGCAGCACCCCTAATAATTTCCCAACGAGCTTGCAAGATACCGAAACACCTCTCCACGTCTTTCCTATAACCTTTTTGAAAGGAAGCAAAGCTTCTTTCCTTCTCGGATTGGGGATTCGGAATTGTTTTCACGAATGTCGTCCACCTAGGATAAATTCTGTCGGCAAGGTAGTCGCACCAGAGTATACGGTATTGTTGATTTGGTACGTGACCTGGGGGGGAATGACCTCGCAATACCTCGCCAAACACTGGGGATTAACCAAGGACATTGAGGTCATTCTAAGATCCAGCAACCCCGAAGAAGGCATGCCAAACCCAACAGTCGGATGAAGCTGCGGCCTCCAAAATTATACTTTTTTAGCCCTTCTAATTCCCGTACTCTCCTTGCCAAGTAGTAGGACAATTCTTCCACTGCCAGTGCATGCAATCGATGCTTCCAATCATTCCTGGGAAACCTCGAGCCTCACTTTTTTGTAGAAGCCTTTGCAGGTCCCTCAGCGTGGGTTTGCGAAGGTACTTCATCGTGTACAAATTTTCCACTGCAACACAGAATCTCACCAAGCACTCTAAGATAGTAGATTTTCTCATCCTTGCAATCTCATCCACCTGCTCTGCAGATGCCCCATAAGCAAGCATCCGCAAAGTAGCTGTAAGTTTTTGCTCTGGGATAAGACCTAAAACTCCAACAACATCATACTTTTGAATGAAGTATGTATCGTAATTACAAATATCATGCATGATTTTTTGGAACAAATGTGGCTGCATTCTATATCTCTCTCGAAACTTATATTCAGGATATAACCAATTTGGGATAAAGTAATTCTCCAAGAGATTCTTACCCCGAGACTCCCTCCGTCTGTCCACATTCGGGGCACGACGACGGTGTTGCCTTGATTGATTAAGCATACACACCACTGCTGCAAGCATTTGTTCCTCTTCTTTATCGGCGTCCCGATCTTCTTCAGCACGTCTACGCCGAATTTCTTCCCTTTCTTTCTGTTGCCTCTCCAACACCCTCCTCAAGTTTGACATTGAGAGTAGAAAGTGTTTTGTAAAATCTGAGAAATGAAGGAATAGATAAGAGATGGTGTGAGAGGTATGAGTTGATGGTGTAGTTTTATAAAGGAATTCAGAAGATAGAGATGACACGTGGCACAATTTTAGAGGGTGAAAATCTTATCTGAAATCTGATATTATAATTTTTTTTAATGAATATCCGAAAATTTTGTCTGGAATAAGACACGTGGCAACTGAGATTCTCGTTCGAAAATCTTTTCTGAAAAATAATGGACACGTGAGAACTAAAAATCTTATCCAAAAATTTAATTACAAAAGGTTATCAAAATTAATGGTTTAAAGTATAAAAAAATAGGAAATAAATTACAATGAATGGTATTTGCCTTAGACTTGCCTTAGACTTAGCCCTCCTGAATGGAACTACAAATGGCAAGACTGATACTATTCACGTGAATAGTGGTAGTCCTTATTTGCTCTTACCCTAAATTTAGCCCTTATAGGTGGAGATGCTCTAATCAGCACTTATTTAATTGAAATCTCAAGTCAAATAGTGCACCCCATCACCCACCATCTTGCTATTTTTGCATTTATTTATATATTTTGTTTTCTCCTCACAAAACGCGTGCCCACTTGACAATAGCTAACTTGGGAAGACTTTGCCGTGAGAGGAGAGCCTGACTTGCCCGTTTTCTGTTCATTTGTGAATTTGACCGCCCGTCATGGAATCTTCTCCCCTTTGTAGTGTTGTATATAAATTATAATCCTTCGTTATAACCCATGTCAAGTTCATAAAGCGATAAGCATTTATAGAATCGTATTGAAATTGAATTTCTCAGAGAGAGGGAGAGAGCAAGATAGCAGAGAGAGATGGCAGTTGGGATATTGGAGGTGATGCTTGTGAGTGCAAAGGGGCTTGGAGACACGGATTTATTCAGTATACTTTCTCTTCCTTTCCTTCTTTCCTTTATCTCTATGCTGTTCTATAGTTCAATAGAATGTAGTTTGAGCTTGAAAATAGTTGAAGGCATTCATTAACCTTGATGGGTTTCTGCAAAAGTTTTTATTTTTGTGCTCCATTCTCTAAATTTAATCAACTATTTTCCTTTCCACCATTTATTAGACTTTCAAACAAATAGATCCAGTAAAGTTGGTGAGCTTCATTAATGCTGCACTTGTGTTTTCTCTGCTTTTGGTTTGAATGTATACTTGTTCTCTTATTCATCTTTATCCCATTTTATATAAGAATTTTTGAAGCAATCCACCATTGCTACAAGGTTTGTTGGATTGCTTCAAAAAAAATCAAGGAAAATATTCATCTACTATTAAAAAGGTGGTTTTGTTGCTCTCCCATGGAGATTTTACATCAATTGCTGCATGATATATTACTTCTTTTTTTTATTTATTTAAAGTCTGGCATTTTAACACAGAGTTTGATTTAGCAGGTCGTATGGATCCTTATGTTCTGATTCAATACAAAGGCCAAGAGCGCAAGAGCAGCGTGGCTAGAGGTAAAGTTCCAACATCCATTTGACTTGCACCCAATACTTCAACTTAAAATAAGGGTTGACACAAATCTGTTTTTGAGTTTTGATGTCAAAGCACGCAATTCAATTAAATAAGAACAATTGATTGGCATTTTCATGTTGTAAGAAATATATTTTATTCAAATGTCCAATCGTTCCTTGAGTTGCGTAATGTATGGAACTATAGTAGACTTTGAGAATTAAATTTTTATTAGATTGAGGTTCACCTATACTCTTAGACTTTTTTCTATCAAGTACTTAGTTAATACGATCCTCAAGGCTTTCTCCTCCCTTTTAAACTTGTAATAAAAATGGTGTGGCCAAGTTGCCTTCTAGAAGCTGAACTACTTAATAAACTCATGACCAAGTAAACCCTTTTATATAAATAGACGCATCAGTAGTTATATAAAAATCAGACGCATTGTGATTTTTAATTATTCTGGCAAATTTCGTGTAGTGTTGTTGCGTTTATTGCGTTGCGTGAACTACAAAGACTACATGTTCTAATTCTGACATGGTAATGCAGGGCAAGGCAGCAGTCCGGTGTGGAACGAGAGATTTACATTCAGGGCAGAGTATCCAGGGTCAGGGGAGCAGTACAAGGTCACCCTCAAAATCATGGATAAAGACACCTTCACTGCTGATGACTATATAGGAGAAGCATCGTACGTAATAATATTCGTATATGATATTCTTTTTGTTGGAATTTTAAAAGGTTTTAAAAATTTAACCATTTTATATATAAAAGTAAATAAAGCGATCGAATGTTAGCTTACAGTGCT